AATTATTAAAAAATTTAATAATATCGTTAAGATGATCTTAACTCCATTGAAAAAAAATAGCTAGTTTCTGTAAAGTAACTCTAAACAATTACTTATATACAACTATATTATAGAAAATAATATTGATATTTTTGGTTTATCGAAACACATCTAACTGAAAAAGAAAGTAATCTCCTATTTTTCACACAAAGCCTCACTAACTTTTCAAACTTTTAGAGCCCACCCACTATATCAAGAAAAGGAGGTGTTGGATCTATATTTATATTAACTTATCTAAATATATTAAACATATACAAGAATATCAAAGGCATATTATCTGTCTAGACCTCTTTTTTCCAAATAATCCACTCCATATTATTCAAGTCTATTTTCTAACACAAGAAAAAAAGCAGCTTAAAACTGAAATAACAAACAAAATAATTAAACTTATACAAAAAACCACTCATAAAATAATTTTAATAGGTGATTTTAATGCAATACCTAATCCCAAACTAGATCGCTTTCTAGCAAAAAGAACACAAACACCTGAATCACAACTTATTAAATTTCTTACTCCCCACATGCATGATACCTTCTATCTCTTTCATCCCAATTTTATAAAATCTACCTTCACTCACAACAATAGTCATAGTAAAATTGACCAAATTGTATTTAGCTTCTTTGAACTATACAGATATTATTGAAGATACTACAATAAAATTAGATCACAATATTATTTTGCTTAAATTTTCTATTCTATTAACACTCTTCTCTTCATATAAACAACCTCCTAGAAAAGTTTCTCTTTGGAAACAAGCATCATCTAAACAAATCCAAAAATACTAAACATATATAGATCAAAACTTAACCAAAATTCATTCATAAATTCCACAAATTTAAAACCAAACAGAACTAGATAAAACTTGGAAAACAATTAACAAAACCTTCACAAAAGCTTCTCTTAAATACATTTCTTACAAAAAAAATTAAAATTAAAAACAATCTTAATCCCTTTTATTCCAAACCAACACTTATTTAACTTCAATACAAACATATAGTAACAATTAAAAAATTAACCAAATCTTCTAAACTCTCTTAACTAATTACAAACTACTATAACAAATACACAAACAATACTCTCTTTAATCTTACTAATATACAAACTTCTATTCATATTCCAACTATAAAAAGTATTCTCAAATTTGAAATTAAACAAATTAAAATACTTCTAGAACAAGAAAAACAACAACATACTGCCTCTGAAATTAAACACAAATTACAAGAACATAATACTAATTTTATTCAAAACTCTAAATTATTTTACAAAAAAGTCTTAAAAAGATTTAGCAGCAATGTTTCTCTAAACAGACTTCTACTTAACAACTCCTTATTTACAAACCCTGAAGAAATCAAATCTGCTATACAACAATATTTCAAAACTATTTTCAAGATCAACCACTTCCAGATATAACTTCTGATTCAGAATTTTATACTTTATACCAGCCTTATCCCAAGCTTGAACATCTCTATAATAACATTCTTACAGAAATTACACAAAGTGAATGGCAAACAACAATTAATCAATTATCTAATTAAAAAGCTTCAAGGCCCTCTGGTACTAGCTATGAATATATTAAACACACCTCATCACTTAGTCAAAATATTCTTTGCTCTTTTCTCTCCAAATGTTTATATCTTCAAACAGTCCCAACTGATTGGAAAACCTCTAATATCTTTCTAATACCAAAAAAGACAAATGGGACTTTATACTAGAGCAAGTCTGCGTATTTCACTTATAAAACCTCTTAAAAAATGTCTTACCAATACAAACAACCTCACTAGCAACCTAAACTTTGCTGCAACTCCCAAAACCTTGACACATACACCAATACAAATTCTACACAATACTATCGAAAATTACAAACTTAATAATAAAGAAGCATAGATCCTATTTCAAGATATGTCAAAAGTCTTTGACAGAATAAATATTTCTTAATTAGGTAAGGGCACTGGCATTTATTACGTAATATCCATTTACTATAAGGGCTACCCCTCTCCCCCTATGTAAGATCTATATTATTGGCCAATTTAGAAATTATATAATTTTTTTGTGTAACATAAGATATTGATATAGTACATGCTCAACCCCCACTCTCTAAAATATTACATAATAAATATCAGAGCCCTAATGCATGTAAAAGAATAGGCATTTTACAAAATGCTATAAACTTTATTACTAATTTACATACCAATCGCAAAGCAAAAATTATCACAATATACGGCCTTACAAATTCTATTACCCTTAATACAGAAATAGAGCAAGGAAAAACATATTCGCCACTTTTGTAGAAAATATACTATGATCCAATTCTTTCCTATCCCTTAAACTGTAGAGCAATTCCAGGCAAATTTGCCTGGAAAATTACTATAAATTTGCTTATGATTTACTTTTT